CAAATGTTTTATTTAAATAATAACTTGATCTCTTCATTGTTTGTCAAGCTAAATATTGTTTATTTTTCATTTTAATTAGGCTAAAAATTGTTGGTTTCTATAGTTAGAACTAAATATTTTATTGTGAAACAATTGTTAAAGAGATTTAGGGGTCGTTTACTAAACGCTTACCCGGTGAGTACTTACTGGACAATTTTTCTTACCAGCTGAACATGGCAAAGGGCAAAAATCTTACCCGGTAAGAGCGATGATAAGAATGGAAAGTTTTACCCCGTAAGTGAGGGTGACGACTCTTATCTGGGTAAGCGCTTACCAGGTAAAATTGTTGCATAAGATACGTTTTGATGTACTACAATCTTACCCGATAAAATAAATAATAGTGTTGACTCTTAAGATAAGCATTTACAGGGTAAGCATTTAGGTAAACGGCCCCTTAGAGTTTTAAAATGATAATTTTATACTTAAATAAATACCTTAAATATTATGATTATAAAATATATTGAAATGAAGTTTTGATGATATAACGATCAAACAAAGTCTTCATAATTATAAAATTAATAAAATATTAATAACAACCGCGATAAAAAGTAATTCGTCGATTAAATAAACATTTGTTACTGCATGAGTTAGATGAAAATACAAGAGTGATATAATCGGACTCCATGACATAAGTTTGTAGAGTAAATTACACTGGTATTACTATTTTTTTGTTAATGCTTTGAATGTTTAAGTTTTTGGAGCAAATTATATAATGTATTAATTATATATAAATAATGTTTAAGTTGGTATTACTAATTTTCCGTTAATACTTTGAATGTTTCGAGTTTTAATCTTACATTAATCAAACTTTTTTTTTTTAAATTTAATAGTCTAAAAACGAATCATTTGGATTTATAAAATTTTACAGTATTATAGCATGTCCAGCATATTCCCCATGGAGAATTAAAACTCTAATAAAAATATTATTTCTCTATCATAAACCATTAATATCAAGGATTCCTATCGGTGTGAATATGCTAAAAAAAAATGTTTCTCTCTTGTTATAATCATTTTTGGTTTACACTCTCTCATGTTTTCTCCATTTTGGAGAGTTTTGGAGATGCTGTCGGAGCAAAAATATGCCTAAAATCTTTATTTTCTCAATTTTAAAAAATCTATTGAAGATGTTCTTAATTCGGCCCCCCAGACTACAACAGTCGTGTTCCGCCCCTGGTTGTACCTACGCACAATTTACTTGTAATCTTGAATTGTAAGTAATATGCATTAATAAACAGTACTTTACGTATAAAAAGTAGTTTTAAAGAGTTTTTGTCAAATGATTTATAATATAGAATATATTTTTTATATAATTTAATTTAAGTTTAATAATAAAACAATTTATTTTTGGTTTAATATTATAAATTTTATAAAGATAATAATTAAGTATTTTGTTAGAATTTAATGATTATAGTAATTATATTTTAGATATTTAAAATGAGATGTTTATCCTGTATTTGATTGTGTTTATCTGCAGTTAGTTACACGAATTCAGATATGAGATGAAATCGGATAGGGATGAAATTGTTTTTAGGGATGAACGGATTTAAGAGTTTTAAGAGTTTTTAAGAGTTTTAGCCAAATGCTTTATAAGATAGTATAGATGTTACAATAAGTTCATAAAATTATATGTTCTGTTAATAAAATCACATACATTTATTTGGTAAAAATAGCTAATGTAGTTAATTGTTTGATTTTATAAAAAAATCTAATCGTTTAGTCCCTAATAAAGAAAAAAATAATTAAAATACTATCATGTAAGAGGTACTCAATAACTTGCACTTGAATAACATTAGTGGCATTAACTGAACTAATAAAAAAACTAAAACCAATCAAAAATATGAAACAACGAATTGTATGAAAACTATTTTATTATTTTATCATTAACAATAACAAAATAATATACTTTTTTATGTATTAAATTGTTTATTAAAAAAATATATAGTTTGATCAAATCAAAAGAAAAACAAAAAGATATTCAATACCAAAAAGAAACAAATTAAAAGGATTAAAATACCCTTAAGTTAAATGAAGGATTTTTAATAGAAGAAATGGGAAAGCTAAGGGAAACCTTGACTTCCATCATGGGGATACCTGCCAGAATCGAAACGGGCAGAGTTGAAATTAATCCATCAGTCCCAGTTGTCAACAATAAAGAAGGAGATATCAAGATGTTTCTAACTTGTAAACCACCAACCTTTTTTGGAGAAAGAGATCTGGTCAAAGCTATGTGCTAGATCAAAGAGATAGAATCTGTGTTCAATACCATAAGATGTGCTGAAACGGATAAAGTCAGATTTGTAGTCTCTGTATTGAAATCCTATGCATTGTTCTGGTGGGAAGTAGAGTCACTAGTCAGAGCAGACATCTTACAAACAATGTCATGGGCAGAATTTGTTAATCGTTTCAAAGAAAATTTT